AGGGTTTCTATTGCTGTGAAGAGACACCATAACCAAGGCAGCTCTTACAAAAGAAAACATTTAATTCAGGTGGCTTAACATTTTCAGAGCTTTAGCTCACTATCATCATGGTGCGACATGGTGGTGTGCAGGCAGATGTGGTGGTGGTGGTGTGCAGACAGATGTGGTGGTGTGCAGACACACATGGTGGTGTGCAGACAGATGTGGTGGTGTGCAGGCAGACATGGTGCTAGAGAAGTAGCTCAGAGTCCTACATCTTGATTCCAAGGCAACAGGAAGTGGTTTGAGACATTGGGTGTGGTTTGAGCATATATGAGACCTCAAAGCCCACCTCTACAATGACACACTTCCTCTAAGAAAGCCACACCTCCTAATAGTGCCACTTCCATTGAGAGCCATTTTTTCGAACCATCACAGAAATTATGGAACAGACACTAAGTCTGAGAGGCCAGTGCTAGGATCCAAGCTCCAGAAAAGGCTGAGGCCCCAGAACTGCAGATGGTGGTACCTAGGGAACAATCCTACCCATGCTTAGCTGATGCTCTGGCAACATCATAAGGATGACAGTGCTCCAGATATAACCTGCACCATTGGATTCTTTCCCTTCATCTCTCTTCCTTTGGTCTGTTAGGGAAAAACAACCATTTAGTAACTTCCCCTAATCCTTCATGGAAACAGATGCCTTTTAAGGCAAAAATTAAAGGAGTTAAGATGTTCTTCTTAAGTCCGTAAGAGTAGCCAATAGGGAGAGTTGCCTTGCTTTAGTAGTAAAGACTGTTTAATTTTGGCCACATCCAATAGGAAAGCATAAACATAAAAATAATGCACCCAAGAAAAGGGTATTATTATTTCCTCTTTTGGGAAATGACAGACAATTGCACACACACTTATCTTCCTCAGCAACCTGGACTCTAGGAGTAGATGCTGCCTAACACATCTCACTCACTGATTCACAAATGCGGCTTTCGTACTGGGAGGAAATCATTTTTGTGCCTTTGGGAAAATGGAGAATTTCTCCTTAGGAGTTCATGCTCTTATTTTATTGCTGCTGTCACAAAAAGACTTCAGCATCTGTGCTACCCAACCTGAGGGACCGTCTGGGACTTCTAAGAGGTGGCATGGCAGTATGTAGACCTTGGTTCTGAGTTCAAAGCGTGCTGCTGTGCCCTTCCTGTCGTGGAATGTCGTATGAATTTTTAGCACATGGTGATTCTTGGTTTTCCGTTTCTGTTTTTATGTTTGCCTTCCCTTTTGACTTTGGCATTGGCAGTGGAAGCAGATCTATCTCCAGCCATTCTTCAGTACACTCACATCTTCCTTAGGTTTTCTTATTCTGTTCAATCAACAGTACCATGTTGGTAGGCTCCTGGGTTCTGAGCTCTCTGTGAGAAGAGAGCTAAAGGATTGGGTGAACTAACTGTTCCTTTGCGATTCTGTGTGCTTTGTAATCTATCACATATGGTCTTCTCTCGTCTTCTTTCTTTCAAATTGTTTTCATCATAACATTTTCATACATGTCTGTCATTATAGTTTGTTCATATTCTCTCCACCTTCCCTTTAGCCTTCTTCCTCCCTCAAATAGCTGTCCTTCTATTTTCATCTCTCCCTGTCTCTCTCTCTGTCTCTCTCTCTCTCTTCTCTCTCTCTCTCTCTCTCTCTCTCTCTCTCTCTCTCTCTCTCTCTCTCTCTCTCTCTCTCTCTCTCTCTCTGTCTGTCTCTCTCTCTCTCTCTCCCAACACAAACACACATGGTTAAATTTAGGTTCCATATGAGAGGAAACATAATGTTTTGTTCTCCTCCACACATGCTTTTGATCTGCTTTTCCTACTCTCAGAAATCTCCCTTCCTGCGTAGTCTCCTCTTCGGCACACAAGAGAGAACAGTGGTGGGGAGTGAACATGAGCAAACTACAATAGCAACATATGTTTGAAAACGACACACACATTGACATTTAAATCTATATTCCTCATTATATTGATATGGGTTTTGCTGCTGTGATTAAATATTCTGACCAAAAGCAACGTAAGAGGAAAGGCTTCTTGCATTATCACTCATCAAGGGAAGGTGTGGCAGGAGCAGAAAACAGAAACCACAGAGGTGCAGCTTATTGGCTTGTTCTCAGGCTTACGTTCAGGGACCTTTCTCCAGGACCATCTGATAATGGACGGTTCTGCCCACAGTGGGCTGCTCCTTTCCACGCCAATCAAAAAATCATAAAATGTCACAAGACATGCCCATTGGCCAATCTGACGGAGGCAATTCCTTAGTTGAAGATCCCCCCTACCAGGTGATTCTAGTTTGTGTCAAGTTGACAAAAACTAACCAGCACATTCATAAAAGAGAAAAGTGTGACCTGTGTCTTTCGGAATCTGGTTTAATTTCCTTAACATGATTTTCAGTTTTATAAATGACCAAAAGCAACTTAAGAGGAAAGTTTTCTTGCATTATCACTCATTATCAAGTTTTATAAATACCCTTTTTTCTTTCTTCTTTGAGACATGGTCTTATTATGAAGCTTCCCATGGATTTTCACCATCCCTAGGAAGACTTTTAAAAGGCACACAGAGAGTCAGAGACAGCAATGTTTCTTTAAATAAAGGAGCAGTGAGGTGACTCAGCTGGTAAAGGTCCTTGACACCAAACTGATGACCTGAGTTTTATCTACAGGATCCACACAGTGGAAAGAGAAAATAGATTCCTGAAAATTGTCTTGTGACTTCCACATGTGTTACTTGGCATGATCCCCTTCCCAAAGTAAATACATCAGTGTAATTTTATAAAATGGAGTCCAGGCAGTGGTGCTGCACTCCTTTAATCCCAGGACTCAGGAGGCAGCGGAAGGTGGGTCTCTATGAGTTGGAGGCCAGCCTGATCTACAGAGTGAGTTCCAAGACATCCAGGGTTGTTACACAGAGAAACCCTGTCTTAACTTCCCCTACCCCCTCCCAAATAGGGATGGGTAGTAGGTAAAGTGTTGAGCCTGACAGCCTGAGTTTGATTTCTGGAAGCCACATAGCAGAAGTCAACTTTTATTTTTCATGGCTTAGATTTTGTTTTTCTTCTTTTATAAGTTTTATTTAAATTAGAAACAAGCTTAATTTACATCCATCCCAGTTTCCTCTCCCTTCCATCCTCCCATGCCCCCATAGGCCCCCCCATCCCATTCCCCATCCACTCCCCAGAGAGGATGAGGCCTTCCATGAGGGATCATCAAAATATGTCAAGTCATTTGGCCCTCCCCCGTGTATCTAGGCTTAGACAGTATCCCACTATGGGGAATAGGTTCCCAAAGTCCATTGGTGTACTAGGGATATATTCTGGTTCAGCTGCCAGAGGCCCCATAGACTGCCCAAGCCTCCTAGCTGACACCTATGTTCAGGGGTGCTGGTTTGGGCCTATGTTGGTTCCCCAGCTGTCAGACTGGGGTCCCTGAGTTCCCATTTGCTCAGTCAGCTATTTCTGTGGGTTTCCCCAGCATGGTCGTAACCCTTTTGTTCATCACTCTTCCCCCTCTACAACTGGATTCCAGGAGTTCAGATCAGTGCTTAGCTATGGATTTCTACTTCTACTTCCATCAGTTACTGGAAAAAGGCTCTAGGATGGTATTTAAGGTAGTCATCATTCTCATTATAGGGAAAGAGCATCTAAGGTAGCCTCTCCACAATTGCTTAGACTCCTTTTTACAGTGTGACTACTTTGTGTAGAAGGTCTTCCTTCCCAATGTGGAGTGCAGGCCCACTGGCCACTGGCCAGTTTTCCCAGAGTTACTGTGGAAGGGATGGGGTTAGTTGATTCCCACGGCCAGCCCATTTCTACAATCAGGTACTTCAAAGAAGTACTAACGACAGTCTTAGTACTGTGGATATTGTCATCATTGTCTTCACTGTCAACTGCATGGGCTCCTTTTCCCTTCCAGAGAGGCTGTAGCCAGCAATAAATGGTACTGGCTTCCCTGCTGTCTCCACTATTATGTGTCTCTTTCAGCTGTGTATGTTGTAGTATTTTTTCTCTCCTAAAGAAATAAATATTGGCCAGGCGGTGGTGGCGCACGCCTTTAATTCCAGCACTCGGGAGGCAGAGGCAGGCAGATCTCTGTGAATTCGAGGCCAGGCTGGACCGACAGCCTCCAAAACAATACAGAGAAACCCTGTCTTGTAAAAACCAAAAAGGAATAAAGAAAGAAAGAAAGAAAGAAAGAAAGAAAGAAAGAAAGAAAGAAAGAAAGAAAGAAAGAAATATTGGTCAGGCATTGGTGGTGCACGCCTTTAATCCCAGCACTCAGGAGGCAAAGGCAGGTGGATTTCTACAAGTTTGAGGCCAGCATGGTCTACCAAGTGAGTTCCAGGACAGGTTCTAAAACAATATAGAGAAACCCTGTCTCAAAAAACCAAAAAAAGAAAAAAGAAAAAATATCCAAATTATTTTTCATCAAAATGGAGTTTTTCTTCAAAAGAAAAACATTTCCCTAACTCAAGGATCAGAAGATAAAGCCACTTTGACCTTGAGATATGTGGAGCTTGAACAGGCACACACACGCATGCATGTGAGAGAGATTAGAAAGAGGGGGGAAGAGAGATTTAAAAAAAACTCAAGAGTAGGGAATCTGGAACAAAGATTATAGTAATGAAAGTACAATTGACAATTTCCCAATAGACCCTGGAAGTTAAGAGCTGCCTAAAGGGTTGTTACCACTCTTAATGACCAGGGCAATGTACAAGTCAAATACTTGCTAAATATAAGAACAAGGACCAAGACTCCCACCTGCTAAGGGGAAGTTTATACAATGGAGGATAAGTGATGAACTCTTTGTATTTTAGTGCAATATACAAAACAGTGTCTACTTCGAGCTGCAGCTGCCTGAACTACATGGGTCACTGCCTTTGCAGCCTCCTTAACTGCCCCACCCTTCACGGCTATGCCAAGCAGCTTACAGTTCTTTCTCAATATCTGGGCAATGCTTTTGAAATGAAAAGAGAAATTGACACAGCAGTGGATCCTACCTTTGGAGATATGCAGCTGTGAGGGTTTCCTATTTCTTCAATCACTGTAGGCTGTTGTTCAACATGATGGGCTCTGGGCTCTGGATCTCGGATTGCTGGACATCTCCAATATCCAGACACTGGGAATGCCTCCTCTCTCCCAGAGGATATGGAGGTCACGGGCCAACAGTGCATCGCTAAGGTGCCAGGTGTGCGTAGTATTAGGTATATTGGGGGCAGGTTCCAGAATGTAGGTGGAGTAAGAGTGAGTGAGCCAACAGGAAGAAAACTGTGTTTGTGTGTGTGTGTGTGTGTGTGTGTGTGTGTGTGTGTGTGTGTGTGTGTGTGTGTGTGTGTCTTTTCTCAGAAGACCAATGCTGGGCGGCTCTACTTACAGGGTAAGAATAAATAGTGGGTGACTGACAAACAGAGGTTCATTTACCTGGAGCTCCTGGGGACTGGAGGAAGCAATCTGTGAGTGTCTCTGTCTCTCATTTCATTTCCCTGTCTCCTGTGGATAGCCTTTTGTCCATCTGGGCTGTTTATCCCACTCATTTTGAGGAAGGGAAGTCTAGGTTCTGGAGCAGGAGTTGTGGGGGGTAGAAGTAGAAGACATACTAAGGTGAAAATATTCTCTATCCCTAGGTCACCTTCCTTGGCTCAGTGGAAGATTTGCTTTCTGAGTCGGGGTAGAGTGGGTTAATGCTGTGTAATGTTTCCTCAGACCTACACAGATGGTATGGAGAAGTCAGGTGGAATTTTGCCTTGGTTCCATATTTCTTACAAAAGATACTGGAGGAAACACTTCCCAGACTTCCCTGGGCTGGTATTTTAAGCTCAGACTAGAACCAACGGCATAGAAACAAAGACAAACTGAGTTCTCTTTTAGCCTCAAGTCTTTATTAAACAATAAACTTAACTGCACAGGGTCTCTGAATTGCCAGCCAACATCAGGGAGAACCACTGTTCTCAGTGACCTCGTACTCTGAAAGCACAGCACAAACTGTGCTCTGAGCTGTGGTTCTGCACACCCCACACACTACCCCTGCTAACTTGCCTGTGTGGGATTTGATAGCCTGTGGGTCTGCTCTCTGCAGACTTCCTTCATGCTCAGGCAAACAGGCAGTGGAGCAGAAGGCTTGTTGTCTTGACTCTTCCCCAGAATGAGACACAGGGCCCTAAAGTCAGGGAGGCTACAGGCCAAGGAACAGTGACCTTGCTCTGACTTGGGCCTGTCTTTCAGTCCTGATGAGGGAACCTCTGCTAAAACAAGGGTGATTTAGTGGTCCATGAGTTCATTAAGGCATTTCTAGGGAGTCCGTGGAGACCTGTGGAAACTGTCAATAAGAAATGAAAGGAAGTTTTAACCCATAACCACCAGCAGGAGGAGAAGTACCTCTCTAGTCAGGAAGCCCTGGCAATCTTGTAAGCCACCCCTAGTTACAGTGGACCCCTTCACTGTACAGGCCTCTTTGTTCCCAGCCACTCTGCTGCCCACTGGCTCTTTCTTCTCTGAAAACAAAGATAATATAGTTTGGATCTTGACTGTCCCCCAGTTGAAGACATGAATGGTTGCCAGCCCGTGAGGCACTACTGAAAAGTGCTGGTGGTGTTGAGAAGTTAAGACCTTGAGAAAGGGGACACTGGTACTCTGTGTAGGGAGTGACCAAAGTCTCCCACAGTGTGGTCAAGTCTTAGCCAGAAAAAGGCCCTCTTAGACAGAGACTTGATACTCTGTTAAATATTTTCTCTTTGTTCCTCCTCAAACAGCCTCCACACTGAATAGCCCACCTGGAATGGCCCTTTCCCAAACAAAGGCTCTCCCTAGAGTCCTCTCAGATAGTCCAGTAGACTTCTGGATGTCTCCAGGTCTCTCTCAAGCTATTAATATCTATGGATCTCATTTTTTTTGATATCAGGTTCCTTTGTGTAACTAGTTCTGCAGACCAGGCTGGCCTCGAACTCACAGAAATCTGCCTGTCTCTGCCTCCAAAATGCTAGGATTAAAGGTATGCACCACCACCACCTGCTCCTTCTGGGATCTTCTTCATGGACTTGGTTCCTGGTCCCAGAATGTTAAACTGCCTAGCAATCATGCAGCCACCCTCCAGCCTGACCTCAGTGCAAGCATCTACGAGCACTCAGACCCAGGTATATTTTAGACCAGTGTTGTGAGCTGTTGGTGCTGATCCAGGTAGCAAGAGAAATGACACAGACTTAGCCTCAAGGGAGCCAGTGTCCTAGTGCACAGACAGAAAGAAGGACCAGGGATGAGGACAGTCATTAATGAAGAACATTAGACACAGCCACTGTTCTCATCAGACACCAGAGGAGAGATGGGCAATACTGTCAACCCCTGTTAGAGTGCTAGTCAGGTAACTCCCTCCCTCAAAGGCCATAAACTGCCACCCTCATTTCCATAAACTACTTTTGGAGTCTTACTGTCTTACTGCTCTGGACTCACATCATGAAGGAAGATGTGAGGATGGAGACTTCTCATCTACAGACTCAACAGTCACTGCCACATCCTAGAACCATCATTGTCTCTTTTCCCTTTCTCATCCCTGCAGGCCATGCTGCACCTCCTGTCCATGCTTGTCCTGCTGGTGCATCCCCTGGGGACCCAGGGAGCAGAAATGAGGAGCCTCTCACAGAGATCGGTAGCCAACACCTGCACCCTAGTCATGTGTAGCCCCACAGAGAATGGCCTGCCTGGTCGAGATGGACGGGATGGGAGAGAGGGTCCAAGGGGCGAAAAGGGTGATCCAGGTAGAGCTGGGATGAGGAGCTCATTCTGGTGGGGTGAGAGAAGGGTCGGGGTGTGAACCAACCTGAAGCCCCAGATACACTGTGCTGAACTTGGATATGAGTTTCTTCCTTCCAGGGAGTGATGCTCCCCGTAGTGTCCATACTAACTGCCAAACACATGTCTTTTTTAATGAATAGTGTGTTTTCTCCCATCACCCAGCTGACCTGATTCCTTCCTTGGGACCTCTGGATTCTTCTTACCCCAAGAATGGGTAAACTACTGATATTGGGGATTAACCTATCCTGTCCTGTTCTAGCAGTTAGAAATTAATTGTTTGTTTTGATTAAATGGTACCTATGTGGAAAAATAATTTTAATATTTAAACTCATTGCATACATGGTGGGAAAGATGAGATGCCAAAGTCCTAGAAGCATATCTTACTGGCTGGATCTGCCTAAGACATTACAACAGAAGATTGGAATTTGTGTTTCATTGTACGGATCTGTGCTTGGGTGGGTATTCATTTGAAAATCCATTTAATCCTTTCAAAACCCACAGGGAACATACCAAACTTCTTTAACAGGTGAAGTGGTGAATGGTAAATTTGAAAGAACATAGGCTTCTATGTTAAACAGATCTTGACTGTTGACTGCCTCTCTGTGACTGTGACCCTCAGAGACACCTACCCAGTGTCACAAAGTCTCAGTTTTGCCTATCTCCCAGTGAGAATAGTATTTGCCAGATAGTCTTTGACAAATGATGGAACCAAAGACTTTATTTTATATTGAGTCTTTTGGGTAAAGCTTGGTGTTTCTCCTGGCCGAGTTGGTGTATGCTCCTAGTTTAGCAGAGGTAACAATAAACGAAGGAATTGACCCTGGAAATATTGACCATGAAGAGTCTCATTGGCAAGAGTGGGAAGTCAATAAACCAGCAACACAAGTAAAGGGGCACTCTTCCCTGGGCTGAAGCTTTGATGGGGTCAAATACTGTGTTTCTTGTCCCGGTTGGCATTTTTGTTGGAAGGAAGACAAGGACACTTAGAATAAATCTCTAGGCTACATGGGATAAAGGTCAAGAGAAGATGCCTCAGGTAAGATGCAAAGTGACTCCTTGTGTGAATGTGCTGGGGCTTGAGAGCCAACTGGGAGAACCACACAAGAGGAAAGGGACTCAGTGTAACAACTTGCTCTCTCAGAGATCCCTGTGTCTCTCTTGAACCCAGAAGGACCTGTGGATTGAGTGTTGAGTGGTCCTTTCCCCCTGTGGCCCTAGAACTAGCCTCATCCATGTATTTTTCCTGGTCTTTGGTTGGGTCTTGGACAGAGGAAGGGCTTGAGTCAGGGAATGGCTTTATTTTTTTTTCCTGACTCTTCCATTCCAGTCACTTTCCAGAAATTTCTGATGACTAATATATTTGGCATATTTTGAAATCTGTTAGTCCCAGAATTTGTTTAAAAAAGGTCAGTTTGGGACTTAAGAAGAGACACCCTTGAGCAGATGATGTGGAGAGCAAGGATTATTTCTGGGGTCACTGTGGTGAGACGTCAGGCTAGGAGATACTTGACCTGAGTTATGGTACATCTGTCTACCTCAGCCGGGTTCATGTGTGATGTGGCTTAGCCATGTAAACTTCTATGTTTCATCCATGAGAAGAAATATAAAGGTCAGAGTCTTCCAGAAAATTCACAGACACCCCATCCCAACAGCACTTCTTGCCCTGGAAAGGCCTCCCTTGTCATAGAACAATTTTCAAACCTGAGATTCCATCTCTTTTCTCTACAAAATAATCTGCAGAGGATTTAATCTCTAAACCCTATCTAGTCCTGCCTCCTCTGAGGACATAGTGTGCTGGGCAGTGCTCTGTGAGGAGACAAACATATCACACTTCCTCTCCTTCAACAGTTACCCTTGTCCCATGGTTTGTTGTGAGTCTCTTGAAGACCACACATGCAGCAGTGCAAAGTAGTCAAATCTATCCACTTTTATCAATGCCCCCACCTTCCCAACTGTTCTGACTAATCACTATTTTACATTACGGCTCATGTATACTTTAGTATCCACATAAAACAGAACATGGGGCATTTCTCTTTCTGTGTCTGCCTTTCACTTAATATGATGCACTTTAAATCCACATACTTTTCTAAAAATGATAGGATTTTTATCTTCTTAATGCCTGAATAATATCTCACTGTGGATATATACCACATTACCCATTCATCCACTAGTAGGCACCTAGGCTCTTGGCATATCTTAGCTATGGGGAATGATGCTTCACTAATATGAGTGTGCAGGCATCTCTTAAGTTTGTTGATCACATTCCAATTGGATGTATTCCCAGGCAAAGTAGGATCATATGGTAATTATAACTCTAGTTTTTTGTTTTGTTTTAGAAAACCTAACACTATTTTCCACAGCAGCCATACTAATTCATTTCGCTATATAAAGTTTCCCTTTTCTCCATATCATTGCTACCATTTGTTATTTCTGTGTATAATACACACACACACACACACACACACACTCACGCAAAAACATATATATA